CTCCAGGTCAACATTCTAAAATTGGTAGGAATGTTCTAAACTGTACAAAATCACCAGGTCCTTTAAAACACCTTTTCCTTTACAACATTAGAGAAAAGACCAATTCAATTCTGATAATCAGAAAGCCCAAGAAGAATGTCTGTCTATTTCTAATGTATCATAATGGGGTTATGTGGGTCATGCCTGCATGAAACTCTGGTGGTCTAAGTGCGACTGTGCTATGCCTGGTACCTTGCTTGTCCCTTCAGAAAGCCTGGGTGACTCTCTGTGATACTGCATTGACAGGCTCCAAGAATCTCATGCCCATGCATTGTTACCTTTGAGTTGATGTAATTTATATATATTTTGTCCATCCATTCCAAGTGTTGAAGCTCTTCATACTATTCCCACTGTTTTTTCGAATTCCGACAGGCTCATCCAAATGCTTGTTGAAAGTGGCAAATGGTGTCTTTTGGTTCAATTAAGTTGGATTTTTGCCTCTGGTCCTTATGTCCGATCACAATGAAAAAAGAATGCAAGAATTATTTTTTGTACTAATAAAAAGCTGCAAGATCAGAGCCAGACACAAGCCTGGTATTGCTGCAGCAGGCACTAACTGATGGAAGGAGAATTTAGCGGGGCCACGGCTAATCGCTGCACACAGTCAGGTCTGTAGAGACCCTCATGCATACATGCATCAGGATGGCCCAGGAGGTGTGAGTTTTTGCTGTGTGTTTACAATGCATGCCAGAGCTCCCCCTGAACAGCTACAGACCTCTGCTATATTCGCAGATATGGCATGATACGGCTCAAAGTGAATAATTGTGCAACCTCCATGAAGGGCTGAAAATCACTTACCGAGTATATCATTCTGTTTCCCCTAAGCCTGCTATTGCACTTCAGCAGCTCGGCAACATCACGATTTGTAAAGGTAGGTAGCCTAGCAGAGGATTACGAGTCTTCTCTCATTCAATTCACAGTAAGCAGGTAGTAGTAGCCAAACTAAAACAAATATGGAAATTCTCATGTAAATGACAGCTTACCTGTCAAAGAAGACAATTTTTTATTTCACAAAGATATTTTTCATTTTATTTTATTAAGTCTCATATTCTCATGCCGTTCTTATGCTAGGATTTCATTAAGTGTGTATGTGAGCATGATGCACGTTTTACCATTGTTCCTGTTAAATGTGAGCAGTAATTCTTGAAGTACATTATGCTTCATCTTTCTGAAGAATTTTAAAACTAGTGCTCTTAATGTAAAACAGAATCTTTGGAACAGATGGGAATGGTCAGGCACTTTGGAGCAAGTATTTGGAACAAAAGCTTAATTACATGAATACCAAATTAAGATATTCTTATAAACAGTTTTGGCATTTTTGACATTGTGGTAAAACACAGAAAGCTAAGAGAAGCCAAATTAGCTTAGCAACCAAAGTGTAGTAAGGGATTGATTCTGAAAGTCTTACAGGTGAATGTTTTCCACAGTCCCAACAGAGAGAAACGCTGAATTGAATAGGCAAATTCCTATTGATTTCTTTGGGAGCAGGATCGAGTCTTTAATTCATCAAAAACTCCTGTTTTGATTTTAATGAGAGTTACGTGACTTAAACTTTGTCTAATGTTTTGGAAGCACCAAGTAATGTTTAACTCAAATAATAAGTTTTCTAGATATTTAATAGCGTTACTCTTCTTAATGCTGCTGTTTCCCCGGGGTATTTACTTTTGGCTGTTAGAGCACTGTAGAAGTTGATACCATTGAGAATGAAATTGGCAAGTTTTAAAACAGAGTGTTTAGATCATAAACATTTTAAAATAAGACTTCATAAAGAAGATGTATATTTTTTTAATATGAAATGTTAGTTGTGTTCTTGGCAGGCTTTGCTTCAGAGGAGTCGCATGCATTTCAAAGAGCTTTCTGCTAACCAGCTGCAGCCAAAAGATGATTTCAAACCAGTGGAGACACAACTCCCTTTTTTCTTTTTCTTTTTTTCTCTCTTTCTTTTTTTCTGTGGGACTGTCTATATATCATGCAGCTGAAGTGAAGCCAACCTTGGGGTGAAAAATTCATGCAACTAGTATACAAAACAGTGGAAAGAATAGAAACACTGGCTAAAGATGCCAGTACTAGTCTGTGCTTTAAGAAATACTGCTGAAGGATTTTCTTTCAACAGTCTTCAGATCTTCAGTCTTCAAATACTGCTGAATATTCTTTCAGAGCCAGCAGGATCAAATAAGCTATATAGAGAATTGCTTGTGTCTGCTCTGCGTTTACCTGTGGAGCGGCACAGGCAACTTTTTAACAATGGCCTGATTCTTCAGTGCTACGCAAAAGCAGATATATTCTAGTGGTGTGCAGAAGGTGAGGGTTTGGGGAAAAAACCATAATAGAAGATGTTAATAGAGTGGTTCTTTATTTCTCACAATGAATTTATTCTCAATAAAATGGTGACTCTTTTATTGTGTTATACGTGTTTTTTCATTTTCATGTTTGTTTGAAATAAGTGTGTGATGTTAGAATGTTTGCTATCCTGCTTTTGATTGCTTTTAAGGTGTCTGTAGAGGATTTTCTTTATACAATATGAAGGTGTCTGTAGAGAACATTTTTATAAAATAGGAACATGGTGTTGGAGAAAAGTACTGTGTTTAGTTAGGCCTGTCCTGCAGGCAGAAGTCTTGCTTCACCTCAAGCAAATAGAGATGTCTTGGTAGAAGCTTCCTGTACTGATTAGCCAGTGTACATTGTTCAATTATTCCAGAGCAGAACTTGGCAATTTTTTCCCTTAATGTGAAGGTGAAGCTTTCTCCACCTCCGTTTTGAAGACTTCCTATCTCTGAGTACTCAGTGAGATATGGGTCTGAAATCCCTGCCTACTTTATACTGAATGGGGATCATTAAAAGTGATTTTACATTGATCACTGGTTATAGTTGTTACAATCCTAAACAGAAAAGCTTTACCCTAAACTATTTGCTTCACTATTAAATGTTTGCAGAGCCTTTCCCTGAAAATATGCTTGTAACTGATGTTTGAAGTAACTGGTGGTGAGAATGTGAATCAGGAAAAAATTCCAGATGTATCTAGAGAACATTCTTACATCCTTCTTGTGTGAAGTAAAATAGTAAACTTTGGCTCATTTTTGGAGGGTGTACTTTAATGCAGATTTTTTCCCTCCTTTTTACAAAACAGAGATTAATACAAGGTGTGGTGTTTTTTGTTTTTTGTTTTTGGCTGGCCCTTGTTAACTTAATTCTTTGGGCAAGGAAGCCCTGCACAACATAGCTCCATAAGGAAATGACCTTTAACTTCAGTTTTGATTTGCTCCATCTGTGATTTGCAAACCAGAAAGATAGTAGATAAAATTATATAGAAAATTGTATCATTGCTTTAGAAATTTACCACATTCTTTTTGGGGTAACCTGGAAAGTTTAGTGAAGGAGAAAGAATTTGAATGGTAGAATTAAAAAACCCCAAAGTTCACAGAAACTGAGTTTTTAGTTTCTTATTTAGATCTGCAGTAAGTGTTCTGAATTAAAAGGTAAAAAGTATGTACTAGATCCTATTCAAATACTTAAAAAGTTGCAAATTAGAGATAAATGCTGTGCTACAAACATAGAAGGCCATTGACTTCTCAGCTGATGATTTTAACAGAACGGAAAGGTAATAATGGTAAGAGATATGTCTACAGAGATTTTTCTGACTATCCATGTTATGTCACCACTTTTCCCACATTACTTTGACAAACAGCATTTTGATTGTCAATGGAAAGGATATAATCCCTGCTTTTGATATAGTCTGTATTAGGGACGGGCACTTGCTGCACAGGATGTATCTAATCCTGAAATTCTCTAGATCGGAATCCGACAAAGCTGATTTCTTTCACCTCTTTTCTCTCCTTCACCTCTTTTCTCTCCTTCACCTCTTTTCTCTCCTTCTCAGTACTTATGGGCAGTGTTGCTGGTTTTCTTTGCATTTCTCTGGTGCTAAAAAATGTCACTCACAAGGAGTTACCTGTGCTGTTTACAGAATTGAGCAAATGTTTGTTCCTAATATATGTTCCCCTTTAGGTGACTTGCTGCTACAGCAGCAGGAGTTTTTATCACTTGTCTGATTTCAATTTAATGAAGTATTGAAAAGGAGTTGTAGTTGTTTAGACTCCAGTTACATTTCCCACAGAAGAGTAAAGGACATGAAACTATGACCTAGTTTCATGTCCTCCTATATTTGCTTCTCAGACCTGTGTGACTTGAGATACATATGTTCTTTGTAGCCTATATGTGTGGGGCCACATAACGGTGATGAGGAAGAGACTGGCAAGTAGCAAATTAGCAGAGGTTGAAAACCGATCACCTAATGCTTGCAGCTTTGGGGATTTTATTTTTGAGAAAATCTAGATTGTATTAATTGCACGAGAAATCCATCTGAAGGCAGTTCTTTGACTGGGTCTGCCCATGTGAGCAGTTTGCGGGGCCACGTCTTTGACTGTTTGGAGAAAGAGTAAATGAGCCCATTGAAGTCATTTGTAAGAGTACAAAGGGTTAAACAGTAAAGCAGGAATACATCTTCATGCTTTGCTTAAAAATAAAAGGGCTGGATTTCAGAAGGAGCTGTAAAGCTTTCAGCAAGAATCAGACAAAAACTATAGTAAAATGAAAAGCTGAAATGTGAAGAGTGCGTGATGTGAGATGCCAGCTCAGCGCTTTCAGGATCAGATACAGATCACGTTGCTCCGAGGAGACCACCCTTGGATTCGCAGTGAACTGTAGCAGTGGCTGGCTGCTTGGCAGCGCAAAGGACTTATATAAGCTGCAATCCCCCCACACACTTCTGTCACCCAGTGGTAGCCTCTCTTAACAGTTCTTCACTCTGGGGAGAACAGATGTTATTTACAAGTACTTCTGTCAGGGTGGAAAAATTGCCTTACCATATAGACTCCAGCTGCACAGGGAAAATGGAAGAATAAGAGCGATCATACAAAAAAGTTCTTTACTGAGGGTGTTTGTTTTTTCTCCTCTTTGTGTAGGTTCAACATGGGAGAAAACATTACGGCAGATTGGTTTTGAAAGGTAAGCCATAAACTTGTTTCCTTAATGGTGCAAACAGAAAAGGAAGAAGAACTGCGCAAATGCAGGACTGCAGAATTATTTATTTTAGCTGATCAAATGTATCTGTGGCCTCAAAGGTAGACAGGAAGTTATGCAGTGTCATGCACATATATGTTCAGCTTCTTGTTTTCTGTCCTCTTTCTTCAGTATGTGGTCTGAAGCAACTTATTCACCATGATGTGAACTTGGCTCAGAAGGTCTTTTGCTGGGGTCTATGTAGCATGTTGGTATTAAAAAGGGCAACGCACTATTTGGGCAGAAGTCTTACTTATGAATGAAAATACTGCTCTTGTTCATATTATTTTTTCCACAAAACTTCTAACTTGTGACATGTTAGTTGACAAAAGCAAAAGAAGTTGAAAGAGGACCAAAGCTGGCAGAGAACTATTTAGCTTCAGAGGAAAATTCAGAATTCAGCATTCCTCAAATGCAAAAGCTTCCTGCAGCCAAACTAAACCACAAAGTCATCATACCAGAAACATATGTCTCTCCTGGAACTTAAACTAGGCCAAGCCCACTAAAGAGCAATCTGGCATTGAGGCCGAAGTGCTCCATCTCATTTTTGTCCTTCTACAAATGGTAAGCAAAAGAATCTGCTCCCCATTCATGTAGAGTTTTGCTGTTATCCGTTAATAGAGTAGTTTGCAGTCGTACACTGGTGTGCTTGAGTTGCTGTTAACTGGGCGAGAAGGGATTCATCTTCAGGTTGTAGGAGTGCATGCTGTGCTTGCTGCCTGCATCTGCTCAGCAGAACCTACAGACAGTAAGGCCTTTCTGAAGCTGATAAACAGCCATGTTAATCATGTTAAACAGAAAATGACTTGCCGTCTTGCTGCCTCACGTACAGAAAGCCCTTCTTTTTTCCTGACCTTTACTTTGCATAGTCTTCATAAATGCTCAGACTTTTATGCCCTTACTAACTCATTTGAATACCTTGCTTGTAGTTAAGATTTGGCCAGTTCTCTGAACCAGAATGAGTCTTCACGACTGAAGGCACAAAGCAGTTCCCCGGAGCAAAACTGATGCTTAAATTTGAATATCCTAGTCCCTGCCTGTAATTAAGATCCTCAGGTCTTGACAGCAATAAATGAACAGCTGTTTTCTATGTCATCCTTTCGTAGAAGGATTCTGCTTGGCTAACACTGCTTGAAGAAATAAATACTTGGCTTCCTCTGTCTTTTTCTTCACCTATAAATGTGGCACCTGGGGAGAAGGATTAAGGACGTCTCTAAATAACTTCTAGGTCTTCAAAAGCTGCGCCACAAACTTGTGGGCTCTGAAAGATGGTCACCCATCTCTTTACATCTGTTTGAAGTTTCTAATGAGATGCTGGTGTCTTAATGATTAGTAATTCTCTTTTTTTATGAATCATTTTGAAGGCATGTGTGTTATGACCTTGTGTGAGTATGCACAGGGTCAGCCTGGACCAGCTAAAAATATGTTTGATTTCCATATTAAACATTGCTTTTCTAAAAGTTGAAGGGCAGTGCTATTTGCAACATAGTAGACAAGATAGTACATAGAAAGGGTTGTATTTTATTTCTAGTCTCTCACATTCATAGATATTATTGTGAACACTGGTACACTGTATTTTTCGTTCTTAAAAGGAAAAACAGAAAAGCAAACCATTTTTGAGCACAATAAAGCTCCATCTCCGTCAAAATGTAGCTTTTCACTTGTGCTGACTTATCTTTGTAGCTTTGCAGGCTCTGATTATTTTAAAAGTAAAATATTACAGAACAGTAAAAGCACTTTTCCTCCACCAAATAAAATCAAGAGGTCAAATGCATTTCTGTTGTAGATCTCTTGATACCAGTAGAATTGTTCCTGTAAAGACCAACATTTTAATCTGCAAAAAAAAATAGCCATTTTATTGCCATACATTATTAGCACAACTTATAAATCCTGAATGAGATGGAATATTTATAATTTAGTAGCTGTGCAAAGAGGATTTGAGGAAACAAGGGCTTTTTCATTTCACAGCTTCCAAATAGTCAAAATTATTTTAAGATTTAGGTTAGGTGACCACATGAAAATGTCTCTTCTACTGCCCTGTAAGCTTAAAAATGCCACAGCGATATAGGCAAGCTGAGTGGCAAGTTTCACAGTCTTTCGCAGTGTCAATATTTAATAAACCTGGATGGGTTTCTGATCAAAGTTAATCTTTAAATATTTCTGGCTTAAATTTTTAGTCTTCACATTTTTTAGAAGTGTTCTTTATTAGTTTAGAAAATTTTAAGTACATTGTACTGCTTAACCTGCAGGTTATAGTAAACCTGTAGACAGTGTAAGGCACAGTATTAATCAATTGAAAGGAAAATTGATTGAAAGGAAAAATACCATTCTGTTACAGCTCTAGTGGAGGGGCTTTGGTTCATCAACACCTATAATTTGAGGTGACTCAGTATCTAATCAAGAATCAGACTAGAAATTCCTTAATTGTAACACCTTACTGGATGTTGTCTGTTTAGAGGTGGAGTGTTTTTAACAACACAGCAAAATAAATCGTACATTAAGGAAAATTACACACTTTTAGTCACCAGGTTTAGTACCATTGAGGGATTCTTTTTTAATAGGTTGTACTTTTTTAGCAAGTTACATCTGATTTGATTTCTCCGTGAGGATTTCGTTCATCATGATATCATACAGGTCTGGAGGACACTACAGTGAAATATTGATTCTTTCATTGTTCAATTCTCCCTTTAAGCTTATCACCTGCTGGTGCTGTTTGCCTTAATCAGAGTGTGGAAAAAATGGTTTTGAGTAAAGATAGAATGAATTGATACCTCAGGTCTATGGATTGGAAGTGCAAAGGGAAAATGGTCAGCTTATTTAAATTGATGTTATTAGGTGTTTTATTTGTGATATTTTAGAAAGCACTTTCCAATTTCTGAGGCACTTCAAAACAGCAAGGGGAACCCAAAGTACCTGGGTGTGTATGTGTAATGTATGAACCACATGAAACAAGGAAGATTCTTAATAGACTGAATTGCAGCTAAGAAGCCTACCTGCGAGGAGGCAAATATTTAGAAGAGATTACTATACAGATCCTATTATTGACATTCTGGTTTGAAAAGAAAGAAGGACTTTCAGACGACGCTTCTTCACCCTGACAGATTGATTGTCATTCTGTAATAACTTTAATTGAAGCAGCACATTAGCACTGATGGGATAAAGATTTGAATGTGCTTGGTTTGCTGTAGTCATAGAAGCAGAATTGTTCTCATATCCGTTTAGACAGAGGGAAAACAAGAAAAAATAGTCCTCTAAATGGGTGAAAAATTAAGGTTTAGGTATTTTTTTTAATCATAATACTAATTTCTTCTTCCTTGTATTTTTAGTGCAAGCTTTTATAGGACATTAGCAATAACAAGTTGTTCACTAAAAGATCCATGAGTAATATACATATGAAGTCCACAGTTAACTCTTTTTTTAGCAATATTTGTTTTATATCATATTATATATAAATGCCTAATATCAATATGTCTTAAGCTTAAAGAATCATTTCCAAAATAGACAAAGGGATATGCACTACTCTGTGTAGTACTTTGATGCAGGAAATACACTTAACTTGCATTCACATAAATAGAAATCCCAAACTTGCAAATCTCTCAGATCTAAGAGATTATTCTGAGGATGTATGAGGATGTATGTTTTCCGCTTCCTGTACCCTTTAGTAGGCATCCCTTTCTGGTCACTGATGGAGATAGGGTACTGAGCTGATCCTGTAGGACAGGCTAGGTCTGATCCTGTAGAGTCATTTTGATATTTTCTATATGAACACTAAGAAAAAAAGCAGCAGCACATGTTCTGCTATTTAAAAACATATTCCCTGCAATCTGTTGACTTAGGCGCACCTGAGTCAGCTGTGAAATATCAATAACGTTTAAATATGTTGTTGAGCAAGAACATTCTCATTCCAGGAGGAAGCGAAGTTTTTAGATACACAGAAAAAGGCCATTCAAAGTCATGTCCTAAGGACGAATATATCTTTGCTTAAAAACTGGAAAATCCATATAAAATGTTCCTCTTAACAGTCTGTTTTAGAGTGGACTGAAGGACAGAAGGAAATGTAGACACTCAGTTTGCATTGCAGAATATTAAGCCTAGATAATATAGAGGTTATGTCATCTCTACTTTGTGGTTACATGATGTTTATTCTGCAGTAGCAGAGTGTTTACATTGCTGTTGTCTTCGTATCCTGGAAAACACAGATACATCAAGAGGTCTGATTGCTGCGCTTTTATGTAAGCATTACTTGTGAGTTGAGCACACTGCTTTTCAGTGAGAGATAAATTAAAAATGCTGGAGCTTGAGTAAAGAGGCTTTATATCCAGGAAATGACTAGACTTAAGAGCTTTTCAATTAAATGGAGTGTATCTGGGTTTGATAGATTTAAATGAAGGTCTTTTGATCATTGATTGGTTTGTGAGACATTACAAATAAGCTAATTGCAACATATTATAGTAGTCATCACCTTTGTCCAACATGATCCTGACTGCAGTTCCTGCCTGCAGCTTTTGTAGAACGTTTTGGAGAAATTTGGAGAATTATGAAGAATATTCTGCTGTCCTATGAGAAGCACACTTTCAAATGTTACGCATGTGTGTGTGATACCTGCATGCCATGCAAGCTGTCCCCTCACACTGTTTTGTGAGTAACCGAAGTTACTCTTCAGTGAAATAGTTATGAACAATCAACAGTAACTGTACTTGTTTCCTGGCTACTCTGGCAATAAAAAGAAAGCTCAATGCACAAAGCCTGTTAAAATTCAGAGGGAGAGAGGATCAGGTCAGTCACTCAGCTGGCCTCCTCCTGTGATGGAGCTGCTTTGAGACTTGCAGCAGAGAGCCTCGAAAGAGCCACTGCTAGCAGGGCTGAAAATGACACTGCTACCCTGCTGAGAATTAAAAATGAAAAAGGTCTTCTTTTAATCTGAATATCTCCAGTTTGAACTACCT